CAGGCGATGGTACACGGCTGAAGGGTTTGGGATTGACAACGCCCCCGCGCGGCTTGGGAGCGTCTCCTTCAATGTGACGTCGCCCAGCAGTTCAAAGACCTCGGTCACCGTCACGTTCACGCCGTATGTGGTGTTGCTCGCCCGTGGCTCTGCACACATGACTTGTTCGCGGACGCGTGTGACAAGCGCAAGCTTTCTGCACTGCTCACAAGAAGCACACAAACAAACTGCTATCTGTCACCCAACCTTTTTTGTACAACTTGACATGACACCGCGCCTGTCACACGACTTGACATCTTGCACACACCCGTTTGTACGACTTGACATCTTTCACCCAACCTTGCATGCCACCTATCACACACACACACACATGTACACACACGTGTACACACACACATACACACACATATCATGTAGGGTGAAGCGGGCGCCAGTGGCAAAGACGTTGGTGGTGCGCGTGAAGAACGCGGGTGCAACAGCAGCGCAAATCAAGGCAGCCGCAGTGTACACACAAGATGACTGCGCCTCTGTGTCCTCGATTGCACACGCCACATCCGACGTGCACATCACCCTCACCTCAGCCACAGCGACTTGCTCGTTCACCCTGCACTGCTCGCTGATGTAACTCGTGCAACTCTTCTGTGCAACACCCATGCAACACCCGTGCAACGCCAAGCCGCATGTTGTTGGAGCGTTCGAACTGCTTCTTTGGCGTTTTGGTTCCGACTTGGAATGTAAAATATACTGAAGATTTATCCGAAATTGCCAGCAAGCAGACAAAGGACAGCAAAGGCAAAGGTTCTCTGGTGGCACTCGCACCAAAACGCCATTCCAAGTTTGAGTGAGCTGGTGTGCCACTTGCAGGGCACACCTTCGCGAGAAGTGGCCAGCACGCACGCAAGCGTTCTCATGCTGTTGCTGCATGCTGCTGGACAGCGCGCCGTTTCGGTTGTGCTGGCCAAAGGTTTGTCAAACTGGACGTCACGCGGTGTCTGTCATGCTCCGTCACGAACAAAAGGGAAGAAGACTGCATTGCTTGTGCGACGTGCGACCTTCGTAATCGTGTATCTTCACGTGAGACTGTGAGATGCACCGACAACAGTGGCGGCAACTCAAAGTAACCCCGTGCGGGTGGAGCTGACGATACAGCGCCCAGTATATGTGCGAGGGACTGTGCATTTTTGACCATTTTCTTTGTGTCGACTACGACGACGACCACCAAAGAAGCAAGCCAACCACAACCACCACGCAACCACATCCGCGACAAAGCCACACCAGTCACCAGACCCCAAGAGGAGACAAGAACACCAAGCACACTGCACCAGCGACCGCCACTATGGATGACGACCACCAGCCGGTGCTGCAGCGTCTCCGCGCTGAGTTAGTGCGGAGACAGCGCCAACCACGGGGACGGCCACCACGACGGCCACAGGGACGGCCACAGCGATGGCCACAGCGGTGGCAACGACAACCAGTGCCCAACTGCTGGGCGTTGCCGGAGCACCAGCGTAACGCCGAGGACCACGACCAGCTCGTGATCGACCGGGAGCCACTCGTCGACAATCGTCACCAGCCCATCGACGACATGCCGTTCCGAGGTGACGGGGGCGAGCATGATCAGCAGCTTGGTATGCCGCTAAGCTTTGCTGAGGATCTCTTCACCCAACCGATGCAAGATGGCCAAGGCTATGCACCGCGCCTTCCAGCGAATTCCACCATCCAGGCTCAGGAGAATGATACACCGCTCATCGCCTTTCACCACGAGCACTACCAGCAGCAGCAGTACCAGCAGCAGTCGTACCAGCAGCAGCAGTACCAGCAGCAGTATGAGCAGCTGACATCGGCAGCTGGTGGTAATGAAAGCGCAGATCTCAACAACGCGACTCCAGCACTTCTCCCTCACCAGGAGTACCAGCAGCAGTACCAGCAGCAGCCGTACCAGCAGCAGTACCAGCAGCAGTATGAGCAGCTGACATCGGCAGCTGGTGGTAATGAAAGCGCAGATCTCAACAACGCGACTCCAGCACTTCTCCCTCACCAGGAGTACCAGCAGCAGTACCAGCAGCCGTACCAGCAACAGCAGGAGCACTACCAGCAGCAGCAGTTCCAGGAGCACAACCACCAGCACCAAGAGTACCAGGAGTACCAGCAGCAGTATGAGCAGCAGTATGAGCAGCTGACATCGACAGTTGGTGTGAATGGAAGTGCAGATCTCAACAACGCGACTCCGGCACCGCTCCCTCACCAGGAGCACAAGCAGCCGTACCAGCAGCCGTACCAGCAGCAGCATGCAGCTTCGACTGACCACAGCGCTCATGCTCCTGCCGCCTTCGGTTCCGCGCCACCAATGAGCCTCAGCCTGCGTGACGACAATAACGACGATGACGTCGACGATGACGGTGATGACAGCGACAACGACGACGGGGTGGACGAGCAGCCGGGGAGTCAAGACGAACACCGGCAGGATGGTGTCGGGGCAGGAGATGTCGAGTTTTGTCCTTTGACATTGACAAACCTGCCACCACCACCACCCGAGTATTCCCACAAGCCCTGCCCTTCCGACAACCCCGCGCTGACGACACTAGTTGAGCTGAGTACACGCGTGGATATGGACCCTCATGTCCTTCTTGAGCTGACAACAACGAAAGCAAGCCGCAAGCGCAAGGTGGTGACCTTCCTTCAGTCCGCGGTTCTTGTTGAGGAGCCCACAGCAAAGGTGATGAAGATCGTCCTGCGCCGCATCGACCCCATGCTCGAGAAGCGGTTTGAGAGGCAACGCCGCTGCGTGCAGAACGCGTGGTGCAACAAGCTCAGGGAGCGCTCAGACGATGTCCACGACCGCTGGCAGCGCCTCAAGAACCACGCCCTCAGGAACGAGATCCAGGCCGCCAACAACACCCTGCAGGCGCTCACGGCCCTGCAACGCCGTGTGACACCCGCTGAAAGCCCTCTTTTTGAGGGGTACTGACTCTCGATGGCGTCTCGAAGCTGAACCCTGGAGACCGGTTTGCACTTTCACGTGCAACTTCCAGCTACGCCCTCTTGCTTGCCTGCAAGTAAGGGTGCTGGGAGCGTTGTCAATGTTGAAGTTGTTGTTTATGTTTGGTTGCGTGGTTGTTATGTAGATCTCTGTGTTTGCCCATGTGCTTGCCCATGTGCTTGCCCATGTGCAACTGTGCCACGTGTGTTTTGTGTGTTTCTTGTGTTTCTTGTGTGTGTGTGTGTTTCTTGTGTGTGTGTGTGTGTGTGCGTTTTGTGTGTTTCTTGTGTGTGTGTGTGTGTGTGTGTGTGTGTGTGTGTGTGTGTGTGTGTGTGTGTGTGTGTGTGTGTGTGTGCATATGTGTGTGCTGTGTGTGTGTGTTTGGTTGGGTGTTCTTAACGTGGTCCACATCTTCAAGCATTCTTCAACCCCGCTGTTTCGCGGGGAAGATAACCATGCATTGCTTGCATGTTTCTTTCTGTGTGTTGTGGTTGTGCTGTTCGCTCGCTCGCTGCCTTGTGTGCTTTTGGTCCATCATCCAATACACCACACGCAACCCAATGTAACACAGAGAAGATAGCAGCTGTTGAATCAAACTTGGTGATGAATGAATGAGCATTTTACTTATGGGAAACGCTATGAATTAGGCTGCTTAAAACACCACGCACACCCCTCTCCTCACATCAGCAGCAAGAAGGCTGCCTCTCAAAAAAAAATAACACATGGTGCAACAACAGAGAAAAGGGAAATAACAACCAGAACGGACCATTGCATCACGCCACAGGATACATTGCGCGACATGATACAGAAAACACATCACAGGTCCCTGTGCAGAGCTGCAGCTGCTGGCGTGATGACAACAATGCCATCGTCGAGGGTGTCCAGCGTGTCATTGCCCATCGCCTTCCTCGTCGCTGCTGTTGCGTGTGATTGCTGGCGCTGCTTGTCCAGCTGACGCCCACGACCACCCTCAGCAACAACATTGTCGCTCTCATCGTGAACGTGATCGTCATCGTCGTCGTCATCGAGCTCCTGCACCACAACCCCTCCTGTTCCCAGCCCGGCCGGCGTGACACGATCCCTGTCACCGTCACCGCCCGCCACCAGCGCCGTGAACCGCTCCCAGATGTATGCGTCGATGCCCCGTGGCTTGCGCTGCTCCCTGGCGTGCTGCGTGACGGTATCTGCTGCTGTGGCCACTGTGTCTGGCAGCCACGCCAGCGACGACGATGGGGACGACAGGAGCGTGCGGGCACGGAAAGCGGAGGAGGAGGATGCTGCTGCTGCTGCGGTAGCATCAGCTGTTGCCGTTGCAGCTGCAGAGGGGTCGTGGGTGGGTGCTGGGGTGTTGAAGTACATGGCTGTCGGGTCTGCTTGCGCGGAGGGGGTTGAGGGTGCCATGTACAGCGAGAAGCAGAGCCCGAGGAGGAGAAGGGCGGTGCCGGAGGTGGCAGACCCGCCAGACGTGGCGAGGCGACGCACGTGCGCATGGAGCTCCATTAGCTTTTCGTACAGGGTGGTGTTCTGCTTCTCCAGCAAGTCCACGCGGTTCTTCAGGTCCACATTCACCGTCGTCTCCTTCTTCAACCTGGTGCGAAGGGGGGGGGGGCAAAGGGTAAGGTTGAATGGGTGGTGAGTGAGGTGTGTGGCATGGAGACACAAAGCACACACAACCATTTGGAGCACCCTTGCACACACACACACACACACACACACACACACACACGCACACGCACACACGCACGCACACACACCACGAATGCAAACACACACAACACACACACACACAACCGAACCCCCATACACATCAACCACCCCCTCCCTCCTCCCAAACTGACTTGCTCTCGAGTTGTTTGATGTATCTGCGCTTCTTCTTGCGACTGTCCTGGGCAGAGATCTTGTTCTTGATCTTGCGCCGCACAACCCCAAGCTGCTTGCGTTCCTTCTCCGTCAGGTCCCGCCCCTCTGGCAGCTCAAAGCCTTCCCGCTTCAGCAGCCGCTTTTCTTCCTCGCTCAGGCTCTTGTGCGTGTTGGCACGCAGGCGGGAGGCAAAGGGCCTGTTGCGCGGGTCGCTGTCGTCGTAATAGTCCTCCTCCTCATCGTCGCCCGTGCTCTCATCGCCAGCAGTGACGCTGTCCGTGGAATCTGTCGACCGTGCACGCGCATGCCCGCGCCCACGGCTGCCGCCCTTGCTGCCGGTGTTCCTGCTCGGTGAGGGCGACGCCTTCTTGGACACAGACGATGCCGTCGCGGTCCTCGCTGCCGCCGTGGTTGACCGCTTTGCCCGCTTGGCGGCGGGGCCATCGTGCTCTGTGTCGGCGCTCGTGGCCAGGCTGCTGCCGCTGATGTCGCTGGCAGCGTCGCTCACGTTGCCGTCATCGTTGTGCTCGTCGCTGTGCACGGAGGACGGCCGCGTGCACTGGGGGAGTGTGGTGGCAGTGGTGTTGGTGGTGGCAGCATAGCCGTTGCTGTCATCGTTGTGGTCGTTGGTGGTTGTGCCAAACAGCTCATGCAGGGACGACAGGTCGACGAGGTCCTGGGGCGGGGGCGTCCACAGCGATGGCAGGTCCAGGTCAAGCTGCTGGTGGTGATAGTGCTGAGAGGTTGCTGGTGTGGTTGGGATGTTCACGGTGAGCGGCGGCACCACCTGCTGCTGCTGCTGCTGCGCCGTTGCTGTTGTTGTTGTTGTTGCAGTGGTGGTTTGTTCTGGGAGAGGGAGGGTGAAGGTTGGTGTGGCTGACATGTCCATGTTGCCAGGTGGCGTGAACAGGCCACCAAACAAGTCCACATCATCCATCACTTGCTGCTGTTGGTGTTGGTGCTGCTGTTGGTGTTGGTGTTGCTGTGTGGTGGTGTGCTGCGTGCCTGCTTGGGTGTCGTCAGGCACAAAGTCAAGAAAGGAAAAGTCCATGTCTGCAAACGCAGCCTGCTCCAGCTGTTGCTGTGGTTGTGGTTGTGGGTCGTCAAGGCGCAGGGTGAATGTCTCGTTGGCTGCGGCTGTCGTCATCTTGCTTGGTTTGTTTGGTTTGTTTGCTTTGTTGGTGAAGAAGGGATGCAAAAGTGATGCGTTGGAGCTGTTGGATATTGGATGGATGGCTGCGTGGCTGTGTGCCAACTTGGAGGGAGATGTGAGTGGTGATGAGGGTTGACGCAGACGCTCTCAGCAGCAGGCAAGGCAAGGCACGGCAAACTGCCACGTTGGAATTAATGAGCCACCCAGCAGCAAGGACCGGTTTGTTTGTGTGTGTTTTGTGTGTGGCTATTTTTGGTAAACTGCCAACACCGCAGAGTCGAACCTGCTGACATCAGCGCTATTTTCGCTGATGCGACGAACAGCAAAAGTGCTGATGGTGTAGCGATTGCACTTTGCAGTCAAGACAGGCGACAACACAAGGCAGCGCCACAGCGAGCGCACACTGCATCATCAAAGGAGACAGCACACACACACACACACACACACACACACACACACACACACACACACACACACACACACACACACACACACACACACACACACACCACACACAGCACACACAGAGCACACACAGAGCACACGCCACAGCACCACCGTCAACACTGGAAGGACAAGAGGAGCGGCAGCGGTTTCGCCGGCACAGCCGTCGATCGCAATCGGAGGGAAGCTCCGAAGACGCTCGGGGACGGCCCTGGTTCACGCGACCCCTGCGCGAAGAAGAACAACCCCAAGAAGGCAACACCGCCACAACAACAACAACAACAACAACAGCGAGAACAACACCACCAACAACAACCACAACAGCGACAACAACAAGCATGGAACGGCAACAACAACCACAACAACAGGAGCAACAGCAGCAACAGCAAGAAGAAAGTGGCAGAGACAGGGGAGACAATGGCCGGTCTTCCCCACAGTCAGCATCGCGCGCGTCGCCATCAAAGCGCGTGTCAATGCCGGCAGACACCAGCACCGCTTCCGTGCTGGAGCGGCTGAACACCCTACGGCAGCAGAGCGACCTGATGATGGCGGGAACCCGCGACGACGCCGCAGTCATGAAAACCAGCAGCAGCAGCGGGGACGTGCGCGAGTCAAAGGACGACGGCAGCGTCTCGGCCTCCGTGGCCAAGGAAGTGCTGCGTCGCCAGTCGAGCCACCCTAACTTGGCCCGCTCCGCTGGCGTGGACATGGGGCCCGCATCCTCCACGCCGTCCCTCCACCAGCAGCAGGGCGTGCGCGGCGACACGCTGCTGACGCTGGAGGCGATGGCGCACACGCTCGGCACCCCAAACAGCCCCGCGGACCGCTGGAAGGACACGAGCACCACGGGCCGTCGCCGCCGCCCGCGCCTGCGCTCAAAGTCGTGCGTCAACCACAACAACAACGGCGACCACGACGACGACCGCATCACGTACGTGGAGCAGCTGCCGTTCAGCCAGGACACGCGCTTGCCGGCAGAGTCGGACATTGTGACGCTGATGGTGATTGCCATGAAGAAGAAGGTCATGGCCACGCCCATGCAGACTATCCTGAAGAAGCTTGCAAGCTTCCCGGAGTTTCGCGTGCTAGTATTGGTGGAGGAGCTGTTTGTGGAGGACATTGAGCTGTGGCCCACGTGCGACTGCCTCATCGCGTTCTACTCCACGGGGTACAACCTGAAGAAGGTGGAGCAGTATGTTGCGCTGCGCCACCCGTTTCTGCTCAACGACCTTGCCATGCAGCACCTGCTGCTTGACCGGCGCGAGGTGTATCGCATCTTGGAGGAGAACAACATCCCCGTGCCGCCATATGTGGTGCTGGACCGCACCAACGGAAAGCAGCCCGAGCTCATCGAGAAGGAGGACGCCATTGTCGTCGACGGCGAGGTGGGTTGGCTTGGGTGGGGTGGGGTGGGGAGGGGAGGGGATTAGTGTGTGTGTGTGTGTGTGTGTGATGCGTGTGTGTGTGTGTGTGTGTGTGTGTGATGCGTGTGTGTGTGTGTGTGTCTGTGTGTGTGTGTGTGTCTGTGTCTGTGTCTGTGTCTGTGTCTGTCTGTGTGTGTGATGCGTGTGTGTGTGTGTGTGTGTGTGTGTGATGCGTGTGTGTGTGTGTGTGTCTGTCTGTGTCTGTGTGTCTGCCTATGTCTGTGTGTTGTGGAATGCACAACAGAGCGCAAGCGAACATGACTACATCATGAGTGTATCACTCCCCAACACCTCCTCTTCCCTCCCCTCCCTCTCCACCCACGTCCTCGCACTCACCCTCGCTTGCCTTCCCCCTCCCGCTCTCTCTCCTCACCCCCCTGCAGTCCATCTCAAAGCCATTTGTGATGAAACCGATTGATGCGGAGGACCACAACATCTACGTGTATTTCTCGCAGCACGATGGCGGTGGCGCCCAGCACCTGTTTCGCAAGAAGAAGGACAGGGCAAGCGAGTTTATTGCGGACAAGTGCGACATTCCAAAAGAAGGGTCATACATCTTTGAGAAGTTTCTCACAACAGGCGGCACGGACATCAAGGTGTACACGGTTGGGCCAAACTACGCACATGCAGAGGGCAGGAAGGCGCCTGTTGTGGACGGCAAGGTGCTTCGCGACCAGCGCGGCAAGGAGTTGCGCTGCCCTATCCTGCTGAACGCGTTTGAAAAGGAGATTGCGAAACAGGTCGTGCAGGCCTTCAAGCAGAACGTGTGCGGCTTTGACCTCCTCCGAACACAGGTGTCGGTTTGTTTGTTTGTTTGTTTGTTTGTTTGTCGGTTGCACGAAGGCACTCGCTCACTCACTCACTCACACACACTCTCTCGGCCTCTCTCAATCACTCTCTGCCTCCCTCAATCACTCACATGCACGCACACACACACACGCACACACACGCACACACACACGCACACACACACGCACACACACACACCACCACCACTACCGCAACTGCCACGTGCAGGAGCACAAGTCGTACGTGTGTGACGTACTGTCAAATGCGCGGGCGGTGGCAGCGAACATCTGGAGAACTGACGGTCTCCGCGGCTTCTTCCGTGGTTGGACAGCACCTGTGCACCGCCGCTGCTTGGAGACGAACTCAGCATCGAGCGCCCAATCACCGTCCCACGACACGTGCGTGTGTGTGTCTGTGTCTGTAACTGTGTGTGCGTGTCTCTCTCTCTCTCTCTCTCTCTCTCTCTCTCTCTCTCTCTCTCTCTCTCTCTCTCTCTCTCTCTCTCTCTCTCTCTCTCTCTCTCTCTCTCTCTCTCTCTCTCTCTCTCTCTCTCTCTCTCTCTCTCTCTCTCTCTCTCTCTCTCTCTCTCTGTCCGTGCATACGTGTGCTGCTGCTTTGTTTGTGTCCATATACATGCACCCTCGTGTAAGCGTACGCACCTCTTTGCGCTTCGGCACCGCCCACCCACATTAACATCGTCTTCACTCGCCCCCCTTTCTCCCCCCACCTCTCCAGACCGGGGAGCAGGACGTGTGCAGCGTGATGCAGAGTGCCGAGCTGCGGTGCGTGATTGGACTTATCCGCCATGGCGACCGCACCCCGAAGGAGAAACTGAAGCTCAAAGTGAACATGAGCGAATTCCTCGACTTGTACCGCCGATGGGCGGACGACTCTGCAAAGAAACCAGCAGAGATCAAACTTAAGACACGCATGCAGGTGCAGTGGCGGTGGTGATGGCGGGGGGGGATGATTGTGTTGTTGTTGTTGTTGTTGTTTAAGTTGTTGTTGTTGTTTAAGTTGTTGTTGTTGTTTAAGTTGTTGTTGTTGTTTAAGTTGTTGTTGTTGTTTAAGTTGTTGTTGTTGTTTAAGTTGTTGTTGTTGTTTAAGTTGTTGTTGTTGTTTAAGTTGTTGTTGTTGTTTAAGTTGTTGTTGTTGTTGTTGTTGTTTAAGTTGTTGTTGTTGTTTAAGTTGTTGTTGTTGTTTAAGTTGTTGTTGTTGTTGTTGTTGTTGTTGTTGTTGTTGTTGTTGTTGTTGTTTTTAAGTTGTTGTTGTTTAAGTTGTTGTTGTTGTTTTTTTAAGTTGTTGTTGTTGTTGTTGTTGTTGTTTAAGTTGGTGTTGTTGTTGTTAAGT